AACCCTTGCCAGACAAGAGGCAAGAGTTATATAAAGGGAAAAGGCATGTTATGAAACTCCCCCAAGCGCCTCTAGCCCCATGTGATCTGCATCCCTCACCTTGACGGTCACCCCCTACAGGCCCCAGCTGAGATCAGGGCCCCATTGTGTCAGGCGCTGTACGTGCGAATAGCAAAATAATACCTAGATCTGACATACGAACGGCCATACTGGGTCAAACCAATGGTCCATCTAGCCCAGCATCCTGTCTTCCGACAGTGGCTGGAGCCAGGTGCTTCAGAGGGAATGAACAGAACAGGGCAATTATCGAGTGATCCACCCCCCTGCTGTCCAGTCTCAGATTCTGGCCGTCAGAGGTTTAGGGATGAGGTTGTGGCTAATCCTCCGTGAATTGATCTAATTCTTTTGACCTTCACAGCATCCCCTGGCAATGAGTTCCACAGGTTGACTGTGCGCTGTGTGCGGAGGTACTTCCGTGTGTTTCTTTTAAACCCGCTGCCTAGGAATTGCTTTGCGTGAGCCCCGGTTCGTGTCGTCCGTGAAGGGGTAAATAACGCTTCCTTAACTTTCTCCTCACCAGTCCTGATTTTATAGACCTGTCTCGTATCACCCCTTAGTCGTCTCTTTTCTAAGCTGAGAAGTCCCAGTCTTGTTCATCTCGCCTCCTTTGACGGCGTGCTTTTCCTCAGAAGATCTCCACAGTCTTTGCAAATGAGATAAGCATCACTACCCCTCAGGGCCACCCGGGGGGCAAGTGGGGCAATTTGCCCTGGGCCCCACAGGGGCCCCGCGAGCCCAGGCCGAGAATCCCTTTCCTGGCTAGAGGCGCCTTTTTAATTTTTACTCACCTGGCGGCGCTCTGGGTCTTCAGCGGCACTTTGGCAGCGGGTCCTTCACTCGCTCTGGGTCTTCGGCGGCAGGTCCTTCACTCGCTCCAGGTCTTCGGCAGCACTTCGGCGGCGGGGGGGCCCTTCAGTGCCACTGAAGATCCAGAGTGAGTGAAGGACCCACCGCCAAAGACTCGGAGCGCCACCCGATGAGTACAAGCGCCGCAGCGGGTGGCACCTTTTTTTATGTCCGCTCCCCTGAAATTGCTTTGCCCCAGGCCCCCTGAATCCTGTGGGCGGCCCTGCTACCCCTACGTGGGGAAATTGAGGCCCGGAGAGGCGAATTAAGAGACAGTCTCTGCCCCAAAGAGTTTCCAGGCTAAGTAGACAAGACAGAGAAAAGCGTCACCAAGCAGCACGGAGGCAGAGTTGGGAACAGAACCGGGTCTCTGATCC